TCAAGCAGAACACAGGGGGAAACAAATTTAGCGGGAGTGTTTACGTGTTCGGCGTAATGACGTACAACGGCCTCGACAATTTCTGTAGTCCTATTACTCGGTAACAACCATCGTTTTTCAGACACGTAAACTCTTCAAAAATCACCAGTGGGGTCACTGCTGATGTATTTAATGTCGTAGAACAAAACGTGATTTATCTCTTAAATTTGTGTCAACCAGACCTTATTAGCTATTTTCCAAAACCCTATGGAAAAAATGCATTGCTTTTTGACGAAGGAACCGGAAGTGCTAAAAATGCTAACTTACTTCTTGGTTTTTGGACGCGTCACTGCGGTTCTCTATCCATGGCTGAACCTGAGGAGGAGGATGATGATGATGATGATGATGATGATGATGATTGTCCACTAGGGGTCACACTGAGTTCAAACTTATGGTGACGCAACCCTCGGCAGAGCAGAGGAAGAGACGGCAGATACCGCACCTTCGAGCAAGGTAAGTGAACAAAGACCAACTATAAAAACATACAGGATTAAAGCATTAGAAGACAATATATTGAACGTTTTCTTTAGTTTATTATCTTACTAAATGATCTGCTAACTTGCTCTTTTATATGACGTTCAGTTTAAAAACAAAGGACTCAAGCTATTTTAGCAGAGAAGTGGCTAACGTTTACTTGCTAACTTTCCCTTAGCTATTCGCTTTGGGTAACTTCAAGTTGTAAAGTACGTGCAAAAGGAAATATAGATTTTCTAGTTTACGTTTTCAAAATAAAACTCAAAATAACGAAAATGCGATGAAACAGTCATTCTTGTAAATTAAAGTTTTATTTTGAAACACTTATCCGGTGTAGTTGATATTCCCTCTTTGTAACTTGACGCAGCCAGGAACTTTAATGGCTAACTAGCAAGCTAACTAATATAGCAGGGCAAAGCAAATTTGTTTATGAGGCTGAGGGTTAAAGAAAAATCGAAACTAATATTCTAAACCATATTTGAATCAAGGTTACGCTAAGGTAAGTTAGTGTTTCTCTATATTATCTTATATCTTAAGGTAACGTAAGTTTATGTCACGTATGGCTACGTTGCAACCGAAACTAACTACTTGGGGAGCTAGCTCCGTGTTGTTGACACTAGCCAGGACAGTCTGTTTTTGACAAGAGAAACACACCAAACGTTTACATTCTGTGTAAATTACAACTGTAACTTCAGGCGATATTACACTTGACGTTACATTTTGTAATATCGCCTTTATTATTTTGTAAATGTTAGATAAATAACGATTCCAATAGCGTTTCACTGTCTGATTTAAAATAGCAACTCTACCAGCTTAACTTACTGTCATTGTCCGAATGTAGGTGAGCTTTTTTTTTAAACCGTTTTGTCCCAAACCCAAATACACAGTGGTATAAGGAGTACTCAGATATTTAACTTAAGTGAAAGTAGAAATATTACAGTGTACAAATAGTCTGCTTAAATCCTGCATTATAAAGGTTACTTAAATAAAAGTACAAACGTATTAGCATCAAAATATACTTACAGTACCAAAAGTAAAAGTGCTTATCTTGCTACTATCGTCTAACATTTTAGGATCATATATGTTAAATTAATGGATTATGATTATTGACATTATATTAATGTGATCATCACAGCCGGTAAAAGGTGAAGCCACTTTTATTTACTTTATAGACTGCTGCTGAATATCTTTAACCTATAATATAGTTATTTAAAATTATAAATCAAATATATCGTATGTTTATTCGTTTATTTACATTTTTGTTTTAGCCAATAACCTGACTCTGTAAACTAATTCTGTCAAATAATTGTGGTGTAGTAAAGGGTACAATATTGGCTTGCAAATTGTAGTGGAGTAGACGTTTAAAGAAGCATAAAATAAAAATACGCAAGTAAAGTAACAGTACCCCAAAATCGGTATGTAAGTTTGAGAAACTGGCTCAAGATCGCTAGAATTTGAAAATACACGACCGAAGAAAATCTGCCACTTCCTTACAGAGCCCATCCTCCAACACACACGAACGCGCACATGACCAATGAGGGCACGAGATAAGTTTGTGCACAGATGGAAGGCTGACAGGCAGGTAGGCCATCCAGTTATTTTAGCCGGGCCGGCTAAAATGATTGGTCGTGCTTTTTACAGTACTACGGCTTCCACAGATGACATATTTTTATGGATTTTTGGTCAAAGCACTTATTAATTGCTATTGGGATGTTAAGAGCATTCCATGGAATATAACAAAAAGTGTATCTCGAGCCGGTTTCTCAAACTTACATACCCTACCTTTTAAGTACAATACTTGAGTAAATGTTGTTTACTACAATACACCATTGCAAATACATTTGACAATTGATCAACTCATACAAATATTTGCTGAAGGTGTTATTCAGGGAGAGTAAAAACACAGGTTTTTCAACATGCTTTCCATTGAGTTACATTTGTATTAACAACGTAATGCCTTTCAGCTCATCATATCTGGACAAGCATTTAAAGTTCTGACGCTTTTACTTAAAGTCACGCTAGCAACCTTACAAGGGTGTACCTTTTACATTTTGGGAACACTTCCAACCCTGCCCGGGCGCCTGAAGCAGGAATACAATTCAAAATGTATTCCAATAGTTACATGTTTCGGCCAGCCAACAATCTGTTACTGAGTTACAAATGTGTTGGCTCCATATTCACAAGGGACTCTCCAAATGTGGAAGACTGCACAGGCTGCAGGTCTAAATGCTCCCAATGTGCAGTTATTTTTAGCATTTCTATTAATTTCACTATTGCAAAAATACACATTTGTCAAACTAGTGACTTAATACTTGTATCTGAAGTATTTATTTTCATGATTATGCTTGTTTAACTGCCATTAATCTGCATTAGTATTAGACACATATTGTGCCGCAAACCCTAGCTATCTCACAGAGGGACTCCACCTTCAGTGCTTGCACAAATCCGATTTCCTCATTATTTCTTCATAACTGCACAATGTTATCAACATTGCTTTTCTCAGACAGCAGAGGCAGCTGCTTTCCTTCCTCTTTTTCGGGGCCAACTGTCATGTCATTTCATAGTTCAAATCTTTGAGCGTCCAGCTAAGGGTTTTAGCATCTGAGCATGACAGCCTATCCTGCTGCTCTTTAAGGCCCTCCTTCTCACTCTCAGTGGTGCAGTGTTTTTTTCCTGGCTGTGTGGCAACCTCCTGATTGGATGTGTGCTTCCACAGCGTGTCTGACCAGGGTTGTGATTTACCGCACGCATGCTATCCGCTCACCTATCGTCTGTGTGTTTCTCCAGGTAAAGCATGGCAATGACTAGCCCCAGCTCGTGCTCCTCCATGAGTAACCACACGAAGGAGCGCGTCACTATGGCCAAAGTGACCCTGGAGAACTTCTACAGTAACCTCATCGCCCAGCACGAGGAGCGGGAGATGAGGTAAGATCCACAATTTTCACATTTACACAAGTCTTTCTTCTGTGGCTGCACAATGAACTTTTGCATAAATGAATAATATGAATAATAGTTAGTTAAACAGAGGTGCCCCATCAATTGTGATCTGACATGCCACAACAAGCCAAAATGGGAATAACATTACACCACATTTAAATCTATAACGATAAACTATACACAGTCTATCTGGATCATAGACTCTGTACAGTTTATCATTACGATTTGTATCCTTAATCTTCATCTAAAAAAAACGTGGCGTGTTGAGTAGGGATGGGTATCGTCTGAAATGTTCCGATTCTGCTTATCGATTCCGGTTCTTATCGATTCCCCGTTTCGATTCCAAAATTATAAAAGAAAGAGGTCAAACGTTTGGATAACAAAAAATATCTTTATTCTTTTAAGCTTTAACTGACATTTTTACAAATGGAAAAAAATACATGCAATACAAATGTATTACACAATAGCTGAACTATGCCTGTGGCAAGTTAACTTGCCACAGGCATTACACTGTGCCTTGTTTTTTTCTTTTAAGGGCGGTGCCGGCCGTCAGCGAACCGAGCCGGCCGTCAACGGCCCGCTGACGACCGGCCGTTCTGTGATTCTCCAGAACACACAGATGGCCAGTCCGCCCTAACTCGCTGCGCCGGCGGAGACCCGGTGAAATACAGGGTCTACCGTGTTTAGGAACCGTTTAGAAGAACCAAAATTGTGTATTTTGTATGGGTACCCGGTACCCGGCATTTTCTTATCGGTTCTCATCTGGAACCGAGTTTCGGTTCCAAACCCTAGTGTTGACTTATTTTACCTGAGATGCTTGTGCTTCTTGGCAAACACAGACAGTACAGCCCATCTATTATGTTAACGCAGTTCACGGGGAATTGTGGAAAGTAGTTCGCCCTTGTGTGTGTGCTAGAAGCAAAACGTTCTTTTATCACAGTAACAACAGTGTTGCAAAGTCAATTATGGGGCAAACCGTTATAGCACCCACCCCCGTGGATTTAAGCAGGTTTAAATGAGATTGCAATGTTCAAAGGGGCCATCAGATTTATACCTGCTATTTTGATCCATTTGTAGGGTTAGACTATTCAAATTATCAGGCCCGAGCTGACTGGCACCGCAGCAACTTAAAACCTCAAACCCCTGCAACACACACAATATAAACATTTCATTGTGGGGGGGGGGTGTGTGACTTGTGTCAGAATTGTGATTAGACAAGACCACTTCCTGTTGTGACAAGTTTCATCAGAGTATACTCATGTCTGGAGAACATAATTGGCTAACATTTTTTTTAAGATGATGATGATGATGATGATGATGATGATGATGATGATGATGATGATGATGATGATGATGACAGTACACAATAGTTTAGTTAGTACAGATGTGGGTTTGAGGGTCATTAGAGGGAAATCTCTAAATGATAACTTTAAAAGTTAAACATTAAAACCGGCTCACTGGCAAGAATTCAAACTCTAGACCCCCAGCTTATAACAGCTGTACTGTTATAAATGTGAATTGTCTTTCTGAGATAATGATGAAATGTAATAATTAAATTAAATCAATAGAAAAAAGATTGCATCCTTTTGACTGATATGCATCAGATATCTCTGAGTTTAACAATGAAACGTGTATAGTGTCAGAAGCATCCGTAGCAGGGCCCTCTTCCAGGTTATTGTTTTCCCCGAAACAGCTGATATTATGGGATGTGCTAATGTGTCATATTATCTCTTTAGGCAGCAGAAGCTGGAGAAAGTGATGGATCAGGAAGGCTTGGCAGATGAAGAGGTGAGTGACAAACACACATGCACTTTTTTCCCAGCATGCTTTGTGGCTGTACAAGATCATTTGTTCTCTCCTTTCATAGTGTTAAGAGTTTTAGATCTGCTGGACCACAGCTGTAGGTGTTTTGAACTTTATATTTCCTTTGAATCAACACTAAGCTTTTATAATAAGTCTCGAAGCAAGTGTGAGATGATGGCACCTGTGCAAAAATATTCTTTATATAATTTTCTATTTGACATGACCTTTGCTCTGCAGAAACGTATCCGGCGCTCTCAGCATGCGCGGAAAGAGACCGAGTTTTTGCGACTGAAACGCACTCGACTGGGTCTAGAGGACTTTGAGTCCCTGAAGGTGATTGGCCGTGGAGCTTTTGGAGAGGTAAACATATTTTACATAAATATTTAGAACATGATTCCTGTGTGCGTTTTGAAAGCATTAAAGATCAAACTCTTGGATCACAATGGCACAAAGAGGAAAACAAATATTATCTATATATATCATAATGTGTCTCGTCGGCATTCGGTTAATATTTCCAGGAAGATAATTCTTGAGTCTGACTGATATGAGTAGCATGGCTTCCCTTGGTGTATAATAGCACTCTGCCTCCTAAGTGACAGACAGCTGTAATGAAATAATTATTTCTGTCTGCTGCTCCATACATCCTGTGTCTGAAATGCACATGTGTGACCTGCTCTATCGAAATCAGTCGAAAGTCGCAACGGCTCATTTCAAAATAAACGTGGATTTGCGTAAAAAAAATAGTTGTTCGGGTGTTTTGTTTGATTTTAAATAAACAAAGTCTTGGCTTTCAGAATATGAAACTTTTACTTCCAAAATCACACGATAAACAGATTTGTGAAGCTTGTAAAGGGAAGATGACAGCTCTCCCTCGCCACTCTGCTGTTCCTCAGCGCTGTTCCCCTCCCTCCCGCTGAAATTATGAATGTAAGGCGTATAGTAATCATAGGTAACACGGCAGGGTCCGTTTCAGTTTGTTTTCATCTGATTTCAAATAAACAAAGTCTTTCAGAATATTAAACTTGTTTCGGCAAATTCAGATGATAAATACAACTTTGAAGCTTGTAACGGCATAATTACAAGCAGAGAACGGAGTAACTTAACGTCACAGCAGGCATAACAACAGCCGGTGTTTCTCGTGAGGGTTTTCCCCGGGAAACAAACACAATACACACAAATGCAAAAATACACACGTATACACACACACACTCGCGAGCTTCCCCCATACCAGTAATCCAAATGAAAATATCTTCCCTCCGTAGTATTTTGATCATTTGCTCCGCTAATAATCAATCAGATTGATGGATTCCAGAGAAGAGGAAACTTTAAAGGCCTTT